ACTTGACCAAAGTCTCTACGTTGACTTCGATCACTTCGGCTACCTTGGGCTTTCTAATGCCTACGACGCCGAACAAAGGTGATTCATCGGACTCAATTGGCTCGACCACACCGTCAGTGTCCTTTATGTTCTCGCCAAAATATCTTGGAAGTTCAAATGGAATTTTATGCTCCTCGCATCGTTCCTCGACCAACGCGTGTGGGTTGCTTGAGGTTCTCGCGTCGATCTCATCCCATGCAACTTTTGACTTGCATCTATGGCCCGACACAAATTTTTCGGTGCAAGTAAAGCATAGACCTTCGTCTTGTCGTCGAAACATCCCCTCCATGATCTTGAATTGTTGCTCGTACTTCTCTTCTAAACTTTTTCCCTCGTACAACTCCTCCAGTACATTTGCTCCTTCGGGGTTAACCTCCTCTGCAACCCCTTCAACATTGCAAGATCTTCCCAATCCAACACATCTAATGGCTCGAAGAAATTTTTTTTTGATACTCTCGAAATAAATCGAACAAGACTACTGAGATTTATTCTTTTAAATACCACTCAACTCACGAAAAATAAAAGAAAAAGAAGGAAAAAAAGTCGATCTGAAAAAGAAAAAAATAAATTCGGCACCAAGAGAAGGGAAAATCTGAAAAAAAAGATAAATAAGCAAGAAACACGATTGGACACTCTCAACGAAAGCACCAATGATGAGGGATCGTGTTTCTTGTCCCGATTTGTGGATAATTGCGCACTAAGGGCCTTCGATTAAACACGATAGGTTGTGACAAAATACGCTCTAAGGGCCTTCTTTTAGACACGATTGTATGATAAACATGCACTGACGGCCTTGCTTAAACACACGAATGAACAAAACGTTCTTTTCTATTAACCATTGGACATATGGAAATAATAATAGTACATGGGTATTTCAGGAGAAATTAGAACTAAGAGAGCTATAATTCTAACTAGGAAAAAATATAAAATCCTAAGGTAACTAAATATCTAAAATCCTAATCTAAACAAAAGTCCCAAATTACTAAGGAAAGATAATAAAACATCTAGGAAAATATCAAGAATAATCTAGAGAAGATTCAGCTCCAAAAGGACTCCTACAAGTCATGTTTCTTGCTTGGCAAGTCTTGCCCACGCTGCTGCCCTCGCTGCCCTGCGCCCGTGCCCACGCATGCTGCCAGCGC